GCCCCCGAGGGTCGCCCTGGTGCGCGCGCGGCCCGGGGCGTCGCGTGTTGCTCGGGACGGTGTCTCACCCGGGCCCCCTCCGCACGTCCGCAGGCCCGGGTGGGTTGCGCGCTTCTCCGCGGTGACCCCGCTCCTCACCGTGACTTTCAAAAGCGCTAGGCCGACGCTCACGGCCCCCGGCCGTGCCAAGCGCGCACCACCATTTCACTGGGCACACCCCAGGTTTTTGTGTCTTTTGGGGGGGCCGCATGGAGCCATGCATACCCCTGCGCCTCCTGTGGGTCACTCGCTGCAGGCCGGCCCGCCCGCCCGCCCCTGCATCCCCAGCGCTGGGCTCCCAGGGGCTCCCGGACAGGTGACCCCGAAGCAGCCACATGATGTTTGCGATGGGAAGTGAGCGCTGCGCGCGCGGTGCTGACCTTTATCTATCACCCTTGACTGATGGCTGATGGCGGGGGTGCACCCCGCGTTCGGGAGAGCGCGGCCTCTGAGGTCCCCTCTGGCCCTTTTTTTTCGTGGTCTCTTGAGTTGCTGCTCTGCCGGTCAGAGTGTGGTCCTAGAGCTGGGAACCTGAGACCACGCTCCGGTTTTCCCTTTTGGTGTTCATTTGTGTGTTGTGTATCTCTTCGTTACTTTTCTCTCAGGGCAAGGGTTTGTAGTTCAGGGAAAGTGGGGGTGGACAAGAAGTGGCGGGTCTGTTCCTGACTGATGAGTTCTTCTGTTTTTTTTTGTTGTTGTCTCTCTCCCAGCTCTTCTGTCAGAAAACTAGTGTCCTCCCCCTTGCTGTTCCTCACCCCCTCTTTCCCCCTGCTTTCTCACCTGCTCTGGGACCACTTACCCAAAGACCTCCCTTCTCCCCCCGCCGGCCCAATTATGGCAGAGAATGATGTGGACAACGAGCTCTTGGACTATGAAGACGATGAAGTGGAGACAGCAGCAGGGGCCGATGGGACCGAAGCTCCTGCCAAGAAAGATGTCAAGGGCTCCTACGTCTCCATCCACAGCTCCGGCTTCCGAGACTTCCTGCTCAAGCCAGAGCTGCTCCGGGCCATCGTTGACTGTGGCTTTGAGCATCCATCTGAGGGTACATTTTATTGTTGGGCGTAGAGGCCTCAGTTAAGCATGGAAAGGTTGGAATTTATATTTAGGATAGGCCAGGTGATGAGAATGTACCCAGATGTTAGCACTGGCTAACCAGATGTTGGCTTTGGTCAGACGGGACTGCCATTTGTTCTGTGCCTGGCTTTTCTGTTTGCCTGGTCTTCATCTTTCTGGCTGTTTGGACTTTCAGAGAGGGCCTGGCTGGATCTTTAGTTCCCACGTTCGGGCCAGGCCAACTATGGTCTCTGAAAACCTTAATGATCGGTTTAAAGGTGCCAAGTCCTTCATTTTGTCCAAGCTTGCACGGTGTCGTGACCCAAAAGCAGCCTATGTAGGAGGAATGGCCTGTTGTAGGCACACAGGGTGAGGAAGAGAAAGACAGCCAGGAGCATTGAAGGTGGGCTCTTGGTAGGTGCAAGAGGGTTTTAGTGCATCGAGGAGGCCTGAGGCTAAGACAGAGTTACGGCTTGATTTGGGTGTAAATGTGACTTGGGACAGAGGGATAGGGCGGGTCCGTCTGAAGGGTGACAGGGACCAGTTAGAATCTAGAATATCAACTGGGAAGAAAAGGGTTTGGCATGGTGCAAAAAGTCTCTCTTCCCCTTTTCCTTCTAGTCCAGCATGAATGCATCCCGCAGGCCATTCTGGGGATGGACGTGCTGTGCCAGGCCAAGTCAGGCATGGGGAAGACGGCCGTGTTCGTCTTGGCCACACTGCAGCAGCTGGAGCCAATCACTGGGCAGGTATGTTGGGGCAGAGCCCAGAGGGCTTTGAGGTCGACGCACTGGAAGGCTGCGTGATGCTTTCAGAGCTGGTCTCCCCGGGCATATCGGGGGATGCCCTGTAGCAGCATGGGCTTCATGGTTTAAATCTCAGAATTGGTGTCACCCAGTTTGCCAGATGCTTTTGTGACAGTCACTCTGGAGAGAGCGTGACTGAGGACTGAGTTCATTGTGTGTCTCCATTTGCTTTCTCGAAGGTGTCTGTGCTGGTGATGTGCCACACTAGGGAGCTGGCTTTTCAGATCAGCAAGGAATATGAGCGCTTCTCCAAGTACATGCCCAATGTCAAGGTAAGGGCCAGGGAAGGTGTGGGCAACAGCTGACTGCCCTGAGGCATTGGTGACTGTAGGAGGCGCTGCGGTACCTGACGAGTTCCTGTAGGCTGCATGGAGCCTTTAGTATGCGGCAGGCTCTTCTGTAGCTGCCCTTGTGGGTAGTGTCCTGAGAGTCCACAGTGAGGCTTTAGGTGATGCTGCCACAGAACGCTTTCGTTGTTTACTTTTTGTGGAATTGTAAATCTGACTCCAGAGCCCTGAGCTGCTAAGGGAACAGTCTGCTACTGAGCTGCCCCTAAGATTGACTCTTATCAAATGACCCGGGTAGGCCTTGAACTTGCGCCGCCTGCCACAGCTTCCTGAGTAGTTGGGACAGGCCTTTGCCATCCGGCTTGGCGGGAGCACTCGTTCCCGTCCCCGAGTGCTCTGTTCTCAGCACTGCTTGGTGGATTGCTTGAGTTGGGGAGTGGACGTGGCAAGAGGGAGCAGAAGCTCTAAACAGCTCCGGTGTGGCCTTAAGGTGTCGGAAGGCCGTAACAGGTGGCCGGTGTCTTGTACCGTGTAACATGGTGTCGGCCCTTGCCAGGGGCTTGGCACTGTTTGGGAACTTGGAGATGATGAGTTTCTGTGCTTCGGTGAGTGTGGCCTGCTGTGATGAAAGTACTTGGTTCTACATGGCCCTGTGACGGGAGGTGGAGAGGTGATGTGGAGAGGTCGGTTCTGGTTAGGGTGGGGACAACAGTCGCGGTCACAGTTTTTACAGACAGTAGTGTTGTTTGATAAGAAAGGATCTCACCATGGACAGAGCTTGCCCTCTGCTGCTGCTTGATCGGGGTTATGGGGTACCCCCCCACACACACTGTGTTTGTTTTTTTCAAGACAGGGTTCTCTGTAGCTTTGGAGCCTGTCACGTTTCAAACTGGTCATGCTGAGGCAGAACCCTAAACTGAACGCAGTTTCTTAAAAGCCAAAGTGGGGGCCAGAGAAATGGCCGCACGAGCCTGATGACCTTGACCCTCAGACTGTGTAAGGTGGGAGGAGGAGCCAGGTTCACAGGCCCCCTGCGGCCCTCACATGCACTTCCCCCAAACCCCACACATCAGGTACACAACATGATAGATTTTATTTATTTAAACAGGGTTTCTCTGTGTAGCCCCGGCTGTCCTGGAACTCTAGACCAGGCTGGCCTCGAACTCAGAGATTCACCTGCCTCTGCTGGCATTAAAGGTGTGCGTCACCACCACCCAAACTTTTTTTAATTTTTATTTTTCCTTCATTCCCCATTATTCTATTTAGGTTTTTTTTTTTGTTTTGTTTTGGTTTTGTTTTGTTTTGTTTTTCGAGACAGGGTTTCTCTGTGTAGCTTTGCGCCTTTCCTGGAACTCACTTGGTGGCCCAGACTGGCCTCGAACTCACAGAGATCCGCCTGCCTCTGCCTCCCGAGTGCTGGGACTAAAGGCGTGCACCACCACTGCCCGGCTCTATTTAGTTTTTTGAGACAGGGTTTCTCTGTACCCATGGCTGCCCTGGAACTTTTGTGGACCAAGCTGGCCTTGAACTCAGCAATCTACATGCTTCTGTCTTCTGAATGCTGGCATAAAAGACATGGGCCTCCATGCTCCATCCAGAATGCTCTTAGAGTTGTGATCAAATATGAGGAGGCTGGGCACATGGTTTTGGTCTTGGGTGGTGGTGGGGGTGAGGCTGGGTATGGTGTGTGAGCCTGTAGTTCCAGCCAATTAGGCTGATTACCCTATGGCCCTTCTCCCCTCCCCCCAGTCAGTCACCTAGTTATAAAATCAGAATTGTCTGCTCTTTTCCTTTGTTCTGCAACAAAGTGTCCTCCTGGGACCTGTCTGGTCTCTTAGGTTTAGCTTCTCTTTCCTCGGTAGTTTTTGCAACCAAAACTTAACATTTGAAAGCTTAGTAGATACAAGGTAAAACATTTTGGGCAGGAATGCTCCTGTTTGCCACAAACCTTGTTAACTATTAGTGGTTTTGGAGTGAGAATGGGAAGAGGTTACTGTAGAATAAGCATTGGATAGGGTTGGAGAGATGGCTCAGAGGTTAGAGCACTGAGTTCTTCCAGAGGTCCTGAGTTCAATTCCCAGCAACCACATGGTGGCTCACAACCATTTGTAATGAGATCTGGTGCCCTCTTCTGGTATGCAGTCATATGTACAGGCAGAACACTGTGTACATAAATAAATCTTAAAAAAGGAATAAGCATGTGACAGTGTGCTTCCAGATTGTTCCTTTCCCCTTGAAACTGTTACTTGATGTAGTATTAAAGCTCAGATCCCAGCATTCACCTAGTGGTTTACACAAGGTGAGACCCAGGAGGCAGATGCAGGCAGGCTCTCCAGGTCAGCCAAAGCCGCCACGCAGACTCTGTCTCAATGCCAGTTGAGTTAGGAAAGCTTAGTATTTGTGTGTGTGTGTGTGTGTGTGTG